CACGTCCCCCGTCTAAACAGGCAGCCGGGTGGCCGGAGCTGGCCTGGGAGCGGGAAGATGGGAGAGCTTTACCAGAGGAGTATCGGTGGTTTAGAGACTTATCGGTGGTTTAGAGATTTATCGGTGGTTAGGAGATGGTGGGTTTAGCTCCCCGGGGGCCTGCTCTGGCGAGGCAGATGCTGCCCGCCCCACCGAGGCCGCAGCCGGCACCTGCAGCTCGGTAATTGCTGCTTGCGGATTGCCAAGATCCAGCAGCTCGCTCTCTCTTGGCTCTTCGCGTTCCCACGCCTCCTCTGGACGGCTCATGATGTCCTGCCCCAGCAGGCACGAATTGTCCGGGGAGAAGCTGTTCCTTGAGATGATAATGACTTTGCAGTGGTGCCCAGCGCCAGGGCAAGGGGCCATGGGTACAAACTGAAACATAAGAGGTTTCAGTTGAACGTGAGGAAAAACTTCACTTTGAGGGTGCCCGAGCCCTGGCCCAGGCTGCCCAGGGGGGCTGTGGAGTCTCCTTCTCTGGAGATATTCAACCCCCGCCTGGATGCTGTCCTGTGCAACATGCTCTAGGAGAACCTGCTTTAGCAGGGGGCTTGGACCGGGTGATCTCCTGAGGTCCCTTCCAACCCTTGCCATTCTGGGATTCTGTCTCTGCCCCATCTGTACCTCGTGCTGACCCATGCTTCATTTAGGCATTTGCATGCAGAACGCTCTCAAGGCAGAGCCCGTGGGGGAAATAGGGAAATGAAAACGTCTGGGCTAACCTGGGCAGTGTTGTCCCAGGATGACCTCATCGCCCCATTAGAAACTTCTTGAAACTTGGGACATAGAAAAGAGTCTTCCTTATCCCAAGAGCAGTGTAAATCGACTGCGAGACTTGTGAGTCCCAGCGCCGCTGCTCCCACAGCCCTATGCCCACCCCCTGTCCAAAAAAAACCCCTCTCAGAGGGGTACCAGTGATTTGGTATTCTTGGATCCGCGTAAGAAAGCGCAATGGAAGGCATTTGCTCCTGGGGTTAGAGTAACGGTTCAGCTTTCTCCGTGTTAAGCACTAGCAGAGAGTCCTGCTGATTGAGAGCTTTCTGCAAAATTCTCGAGCTGGTTTTGTCCCCCAGAGCAGTTTCCAGCTGCAGTTGCTGTCAGTACGCTACCTGCTGTGCTTTCTCTTTGCTCCAAACAGGACCCAAGGGAGCAGGCCCTTCTCCTTGTCTGCTGCTGCCAGAGCCATTTTAGGAATGGGCAGATGGGGCGATGATGGTGGGAAGCAGCAGCTCACTCTGCGGGATGTGGCAGAGCTCATTCGGAAGAAGGAATGTCGCCGAGTGGTGGTGATGGCTGGCGCTGGGATTAGCACCCCCAGCGGCATCCCGGATTTTAGGTAAGGCCTCCATCATTTCATTTGTCCCTTTTCAGTGCTGGGAGGGCCAGGAACTTCAGCTTAGATAACGCTGGTGCCTGCTACTCCTCTCACCCCTCCCTTTTGTTTAACTGTGCCAGGCTAGACAAGGTACAAGAGTTTCCATGCCTGCTGATCCTCTTTCTCCAGCCAAAGGCAGGCTGGCATCACCAGTCAGGCTTTGGGCCATTCCTTGGCCCAGGTCTTCAGGATGGTTAAGTCCTGCCTGTTGCATGATTCCGTGGCTGCACTCACTGCACCACCTTGGCCACCAAAGAGCCAACGTGGCCGTGGCGCAGGCTCGAGACGCCCCAACTAGAAGAGGGCACGGTCCTCGCAACATACCAGCGCAGCCCTTCCCTGCCTCCGGCTGCGGGCACACCTCTGCAGCCGGGAGGAGGCGGGGCGGCCGCAGAGCAGGGGTGCGAGGCAGGTTCTCCTTCGGTGCCGAAGTAGTTTCAACTGCTCTCTTGACGCGTAATGGACAACACAGAGCAGCCAGAGAGAACCCAGGGACCTGGCTGGCGGCTCTGTCACGCCTTGATCTGGCTCTGTGGTGGGTGGCATCTCTTCCCGCATTCCGACAGCTCTCCTCTCTTTGCAGGTCCCCAGGGAGCGGCCTCTACAGTAACCTTGAGCAGTACAACATCCCTTACCCAGAAGCCATCTTCGAGCTGATGTATTTCTTTGCCAACCCTAAGCCCTTTTTCACTTTGGCCAAGGAGCTCTACCCTGGCAACTACAGACCCAACTACGCCCACTATTTCCTGAGACTCCTGCATGACAAAGGGCTCCTCCTGCGCCTCTATACCCAGAATATCGACGGGCTGGAGAGAGGTGAGTTTTCTCTTCCCCATCTCTCAGCAGCAGAGTGCCGGGAAGCAATGAGGGTGGGAAGCAAAATACGAGACAGGACTGGGGAAATGCCCAGTGAATGTGAAGTTTCTGGTTCAGTCACCTCACGCTGAGCTGGTCCTCTCCCACGCGCTGTGTTCCAGTTGCTGGGATCCCTCCCGATAGACTGGTGGAAGCTCACGGTACCTTTGCCACCGCCACCTGTATGGTCTGTCGAAGGAAGTTCCCAGGAGAGGACTTCAGGGTGAGTGCTCGCAGCTGGGCATTGACCCATAATTAACCCAGGGAAGAGAACCTGCTGCAGGCCTGTGTATTTTGCCCTCAGGGCCAAGAGGTTTTATTGGAGGGGACCAGATTTGGGGCTGGATGTTGCCGTGAGGACGCGTTATGGTTCTGACCCTGCCGTGCAGGTACGTGCTGCCCTGTAACGAGTGCTTTTGGGTGCTCTCGCTTCAGGGGGATGTCATGGCAGACAAGGTCCCTCACTGTCCCATCTGCACTGGAGTCATCAAGCCTGACATTGTGTTCTTTGGCGAGGAGCTCCCGCAGCGCTTCCTCCTGCACGTGACAGACTTCCCCATGGCAGACCTGCTTTTCGTCATCGGAACGTCCCTGGAGGTCTGGGACTAAGGGAAACCCCTGCTCACAAGGAGACAAAGGCACACGGAAAACAGGGCCCGAGGGGACTCTGGAGGAGAGAAAAGGTTTAGAGGAGAAGGCGAGAAACTGGGTTATCGAGGTAAAATTTGAGATGGCAGGGTAAGGCATAGGGTGCATGCACTCCGAGAGACCCTCTGAAAACCTCACGTGCTCCTGGAGAGCAAGAGATGAGTTTTGTGGCCACCTGAGGAAAGGCCACCAGATAACCGGTGACATCTGTAACCTGTTCAGCACTGGGGTAGCTTAGCCCACAGCGGGAGAGCTCTTAAACGCAGCGGTTACAAGCTTAGCACGCCGTGACCTCGTGCCCGCAGTGCCCCTCAGCGGGGTGACTGTCTCTCTCTGCTCCTTCGCGTTGCCTTCCTTCAGGTGGAGCCCTTTGCCAGCCTGGCAGGAGCTGTTCGCAGCTCTGTCCCCCGAGTCCTCATCAACCGAGACCTCGTAGGACCCTTCGCCTGGCAGCAACGCTACAATGACGTAGCCCAGCTGGGGGACGTGGTCAGTGGGGTCGAGAAGCTGGTGGAGCTGCTGGACTGGACTGAAGAGCTGCAAACACTAATTCAGAAGGAGAAAGAAAAGGTGGGAAGGGGCTCAGAGCCCCATCTCCCTCCCCTCAGCCTCTTTGTTCCTTGTGCTGGAGTTGTCCGGGGGGGAGCAGGTTTGTGCTTTGCCAGGGTTTAGACTGGCACCACAGGCACTGCCATGCCTGCAGTCTGCGCTCGGGGAAAAGGACCTCAGAGGGGTCAAACCTCAGTGCTGTTTCACAGGGAAGGTGCTGCAGAGCAGAGCGCTGCGTTACTGAGTGTTTCAGTGGTACAGAAGGGGAGGATGCAGATCTGCCAACCCCAGATGAAACAGAAGCGCATGGAAAAGGCCGGGCTTTGGGTTGAATGAGAGTGCTTTTGTGTTTCTTCAGCAACCCCCTCAATTACTGAAAAGCTTTCTGTTGATTCCATCTATTTTTTTTTTTTTATGTATTCCCAAACACACTGAAAAAGCCCCATAGGTGAAGGTCCAGTTTCCTGGAGCTGGAAGTGACCAACCAGGAAATCCCATCTGCCATCTGTATCAAATTAATCCAGTATCATCTTGTAAGTCAGCAGAGGACTTGCCTTTGCACTTGAACAGCACCGGGCACGCTCTTCTTCAGGCAGTGCTTCCCTTGGATGCGTGCGAGGAGAGGAACGCTCCCCTGCGCGTGCAGAGGCTCTGGGGTGGCTGATGCCGCTGTTCCGGTTTTGGTTTCTACGCTGCTTTTTCCCTGGCCGAGAGCCTGTGTCTGTGGCACTGTTAACGGCGTATTAATGCAAGTAACTGCTGAACTAAACCAAGGAGCCCAGCCAAGCCTCACCTCAGTGGAGCTCTCCGCTATCTGTATGTTCCCTTAATTGCTTTGGTTTCGTTCCTAGTGGATTTCTGGTCATTGTGAGAAATCAGGAAAGGCAGTAACAAGAGGGAGGCTCTAACTGCACTACACCAGAGACCGAACAAGGTGCTGCGGCAGCAAGGGCACTCGCTCCACTCAGCAGCATTGAATTGCTAACTACAGACTTGGCTCTCTTCCCCCGCTGATCAGTTCTGTCCCTGTGCCGTTCTCCTGACATCTGTAATCTTCTGAGATCTTCAGAAGTGAGAAATTGCAGGAGAGCAGGTTCTTAATTACTGGGAGGTTAGTGCTAGTGGTAATTTACATTACTTTGGGCCTGCTGGGAAGATTTTCCTACATTTGGCATCAAACACTTTTTAAATTTTTTTTTTTTTTTTAATTTAAGCAGAAATTGTAACTTGTGGGCTGGGCCAACTCTTCTGCTTGTGCAAAGGGGCACAGCCCGGCTGGCTGCAGCAGGGCTCGGCCAGCTCACTGTGATAAGCAGCCCCTTGGGGTTTTAACAGATACACTGTCCATACACGACTTCTTCCGACCCACGAGGCAATCTGGCTTCAGAGTCCCAATTTTAACATTCAGGTTGTTCTTTCTTTTCATCAGCTTACAGGGTAGGAACAGACAGGAATTATTAGTCCTTTGGTCAGGCTTTTGATTCTTCACGACAAGCTGGTTTGCATCTGTAGATCAACCAGCCCTTAGTTTAATGCTTGTGCTGCTCAAAATCGCTGGCAGATAAAGCTGATGCAAACGTGGTAAAGCATGGAGAACCAAACTCCTCCCTGCTCCAGGATCTTGGTGCTAGGAAGCGTTCCTGGCTGAGCTAACGGGGCTGGAAGGTTTGAAACACCCCAGTAAACACCCTGTGGTCTTTCTTTTTTTAGCTGGATGCAAGAGACAAATAGGACAGCTGGCTCCCTGCTGCTGGAGAGCAACGGTCACCTTGAGGAGGAGATGTTGTCGTGCCCAGCACAGGCAGAGAAAAAGAGATCATGGCAGGGAGCCACAGAAGAGGCCAGCGGACTCTGCAGCAGCAAATCCACCTGGGACTGGCACGCTGGGGAGGAGGGGATGCTCACGCTCTGTCCTTGGACGGGGCTGAGGGGGGGGGGAAGCCCAAACGCCAAGCTGCAAGATGGTTCTGCACCTGAAGGCTTTCCTTCCCGAGCTTCAGAACAGCTGGTGGAGCCACTGAGCACGGTTCCCTCCCTGTCTTACACCTCCTTTCGGCACCCCCATGGAGAGCCTTTCCCCTTCCCTGGCCATCGCATGGCTGGGAGCTCGTGGGCTCGTGCCAGACGAGCTGTGCACGTGCAGCTTGCCCCCTGGGTCTCCCTCTTTCTGAGCCATCCGGCCTCCGGGACCCTCAGAGGGCCTGGTTTTCGAGGATTGGGAGCTGGAAACACCATGGAGGTCAGGCTTTAAGGCAGGACAGAGTCACTTCTGTCTGGAGTGAGTTTCCAGCTACCCCCACCTGACAGAGCACCTACTGCCTCCTTTCCCAGTTCCGCCTCAGGTGTGCTTCTCCCAGTCACGGTCTTTCAGCTGCTGCAGGCCCGTAGCATTCATTCTTCAGATGAAATCTCAGCTAATCAGGGGACAAATGCTGTAGGGGGG